AAAAAAAGTAGGATTTGCTGTTTTTAAAGAGGTAAATTATGACTGTCGGTGGGGAAGAGACGGGGAAAAAATTGGTATTGCATCACTTTTAATTTAATTAGCTTAGATCAACTTTGTTGTCAGTAAAGGGCTTTGCTTTCCAGACAGTAAAAACAAATACAGATAAATGCATAAAAATATTTTCAATAGGACACCACATACCATCACAGTTTGATTGGTCTTGCCCCAAATTATTAATGACACTAACTGGGATAAGTTAACTTTTTATTTTTAAAAAACTTATTACCTTAACATGCAGGTAAATGTGCATCTCAATAACTTAGAATATTACTAAAAAGTTGATGTATTTCAAAAACTTAAATACCTATAGATTCATTACACAGGCTGGTGTAACTCAGGCATTTATTCCTGTTAATTTTGATGATTCTGACGCATAGCCAATGAAAACCAAAATTCTGTAATTTAAAAATGTGATTAAATATGATCAATAAATGTCCTTTTTGATAGAGAAATGTATGCAAACTGAAAAGTAGAAAGGCTGAAGCATTTGCACTCAACACTTGGTTGAGGCTCCTTTTGCAAGTCTGATTGATAATGAATATTGTTTTTTTTTTAGGTTAGCTCAGTGTCTTATACAATGTCAGTGGTTATAGAAAACCAAAGATATTCCATGATTATTTTATATTTTCTTGCCTATAGATTATCTTCAATCAAATCCAGTTTGATTTTCCTCAAACTTGAGTGTTCACAAATTGTTCTTACTTGCTGATGTGAAAATGGGATGTCAGAATTTGTTTAAAGAGTGTTGTTCAAACACAGAATACAGCAGGCAAAAATAAAACAACTTATTCCTTATTTTTTTTATGTTTAAATCTAAGTTAATTTTCCGTGGTTCCTAAAATTAACCTACAAAGACAGATACATACTGAACACTTTCTTTATCGAACAACAGTCTTGTTTATATTAATAGCAAATTCTCAAAAAAAGTGTAATTTCTCAGTATTTTACTAACTGCAGGTTTAGCCAGAAAAAAATAACCTATTTAATATAACAACCAATAATGCCCAACAAACACTCTTGTGTCTGTTTTTATTCATTTATTTTTTTTTTACATCACATTGGACTAGATTTATGGTCAGAATACACTGACAAGGAAACAAGAAGATGTCATAAAAATCCCATCATTAAATTAGAGCAACTCCAGCATGTAAAACAGAAATAAATTAGAGGAGTGATAACCATTCTCTTAGAGTGGAATGCCCATCTCCTGTGATGTGGCTCACCAGAAAAGCATAGATAAAAGTGGAATTCTTTCAGCACACCAACAAAACTTCTCCCCACAGAGTCCTACATGTTCTTTTTATTATTTTCCAAATGCACATCCTTTCCATTCTCCACCGCGCTCTTGTCTTTTTCTTGCTTGAAAAGAGTCTGGATGTCAATCATGGCTTTCCGAATGTGCCGAGCAAACCGAGTGGAGTCCTGCAGTTTTAAAACAGAGAGAAAAGTCTATTAGACTTGGAGAAGCACGACGAGGACTCTACAGGTGGATGGGAAACATTGAGTACTTACTGTGTTATGCCTGGAGAATTTGCTGGAGATGTGGAATGTAATGAGATTTTCCCCAACAATGATATAAGAAACACCATACCCATCATCCGCCACCTGAGAGTGCAAAAGAGACACCGTTAGATAAGATGCTAAACTG